ATCCCAAGAGGAAGGACCAGCAGTTAGCGTAATGGCTATGTCACTGGACTCCTACATAGTCAACCACGGTTCAATTCCCGGACCCGGTGGCTTAAAACTCACACCAGGCACGTGTGCGTGCGTGCCCAAGATCCCGAGAGGAGAATGGAGGAGAAGGGATTGCGGGGTGGCCATCCCCCCTGGGGGGTGATATCTCGCTTTCTGTCTCTCTGTCTCTCTCTGTGTGTCTGGCGAGCGCACGCGCCCTGTAGCAAAAACCTTTTCAAAGACTATCCCATTAAACTAACACTGGACCTCTCATCAGATCCATCCCCCCCGGGGGAGGGGCTAATGTTTCACTTTCCCTCTCTCTGTCTCTCTCTCTCTCTCCAGGGAGCACATGTGCCCTAAGGCAGGAACCTTAAAAAAAAAAAAAAAAAGAGGTACTAAGAACGCCCCACATTAATTTAAAAATTAAGCACCTGGTGTGGGCTAGGATCAGCTGTGGGACCCTGGGGTGGTAGCTGGGAGTCAGATCTAAATTCTGCCCTGCTAGGGTTGAAAACTGGCTGAAGAGGAGCACTGTTACAGCGATCACTGTGAGGTGAGACCGTACGAAGTCGCCAACATTCTACTGTTCTGTCTCCCAACATGGCAGTTTCATAGGGCTCAGCCTAGAGTTGTGAGAAGAGCTGTGGAGTGGTGGTCTGAGAAGGTGGGCATGTGTCCCCGGGCCCCAGGGAAGGCTTCACAGCACAAACGAGGTCTAGGGATGAGTACAAGCTGGTCAGGCGGGGAGAGTGGAGAAGGTTGGAAGCTTTGAAGACAGCATGTGGAACCAGCAGATGGCATGATGGCTATGTTGTTGGACTCCCATGTAGTTGACCACGGTTCGAGTCCTGGAGCTGATGGCTTAAACTCACGCTGGACGCATGTGCATGCGTGCCCAAGATCCCGAGAGGAGAAGGGATTGCGGCATGGCCATCCCCCCCTGGGGGGTGATTTCTCGCTTTCTCTCTCTCTGTTTCTGTCTTTCTGGAGAGCGTACGCGCCCTATAGCAAAAACCTCTGAGAAAACAAAAGAAGAAGATGGCATGTGTCTGGAGAAAGTGACCCAAGATGAGGCTGGAGGCTGACCCGGAATCTTCCTATCAGCCTAACTAATGATATTCATTTAATCCAACTGCAGTGGGGAGAGTGTAGGAGTTTAACCAAGAGAGCGATATGACCAAATTGTGTGTATTTCTCTTTATTTCTTTTTAAGTTTTTCTAGGAGTGCATGCACTTGGCAGAGAGAGAGAGGAATCACCCCCCAGAATGGATGGCCGTGCCACAGTCGTTCTTCCTGCATTCTCCTCTGGGGTTTTGGGCACGCACGTACATGCACCCGGCGTGATTTTCAGGCCACCAGATCTGAGACTTAACCACAAAGTCTGCCATGGGCAATGCACCCACCTTACCCTCCTCGCCACTGGCTGGCCCCTCAATTGTGTGTTTTTACAAGGTCGTTTTTGCCTGTCATGAAAACAAGGCCGATCGCAGTGGGCATGAGTGGATAGGGCCAGTTGGAGACTACTGTAGTCATTCGGGCAAGAGTTGGTGGTTGGCAACATGCAAGATGCTTTCAAATAGAGTGTCTTATCTGATCCTTATAACAGACCTCGTGTGGGTGTCTAATACTAGCCTTGGCATATGGCCGAGGAAGCCGAGGCCTGCAAAGTTCAGAGGCATGCACGTGGTCCGACTGGGCAGGTGACAGGCAGGACTGGGCTGCCAGCTCTCCCTCACCCTGGTGGTCTTTTGGAAGTGTTAGCCTCATGTACTAGCATGCCCGCGTGTGGAAAATTGATTTATCCTAAGAATGGTCTCAGACCAGCCCCTGGCCTGGTGGTTAAGGAGGCCATATCCCATATGGCCAATCTCATAGCTCAAATTCTGACCCTAGAGGCTTGACAAACCTGCCAGGAACTTGTGTGTGCATGTCCCAAATCCTGACAGGATGAAGAAGTGGAGGAGAAGGGACAGTGGCATGACCACACCTTACTGGAGGATGCTTTCTCTCTCTCTCTCTCTCTGTCTCTCTCTCTGTCTCTGTCTCTCTCACTGATGAGCACATGTATGCCCTGGCGACAAAACAAAACAATACACGAGTGAAACAGAAGATGGTTGGGCTGGAAGTCAGGGATGACGTGGCACAGTACCGTCAGCTCCGTCATCCTCTGTGGCCCCAAGGGGACAACAGGGACCTCTGGGACTGACACAGCGTAGTCCACTCCTGGATTCAGCGGCTTCTGAAGTCAGCGAGCACTCAGAATAATTCTACCCTAGCCCTGTTTTTATTGGAATAACGGAGCACAAGTGGCATCTATTGCCTTAGCGTAAGCAGTCATACTCACCCATGACCTGGTTTTCCTCCTTACTGCCTGTGTGTCCCAAAGGGGGGAAGACCTTGCCCTCAAGTAAATTATCATGCAATAGCTATTGTGATTGACTTCTCAATGCCTGTAATCTTCCCTGACTCTGAAAAGAGGTTTTCCGAAATGCTGCATCCTGGATCCTACCCAATTACCATCGCAGCATTGGATTAAAAGCTATGAAGATGAATATGCAAATTACAAGAAGGTGTGTCGCGAACTAAACCATGTACGGTGACGCCAGAGCCAAATTTACATGCCTACGTCCCCCATTCACGAGCCAAGGTGAATCCTGTAAATTTGGCCCCCTGGAGCGTCACTGGGCTTTTTTGTTGTTGTTTTGTTTGTTTGTTTGTTAGTTTTTTTGTTGTTGTTGGTTTTTTTTGTTTTTTTTTAATAGGTTTTTGTTACAGGGCGTGTGCGCTCTCCAGAAAGACAGAGAGAGACAGAGAGACAGAAAGCGAGAAATTACCCCCCAGGGGGGATGGCCACGCCGCAATCCCTTCTCCTCATTCTCCTCTCGGGATCTTGGGCATGAGTTTAAGTCATCGGGTCCGGGACTCAAACTGCGGTCGACTACATGGGAGTCCAGCAATGTAGCCATTACGCTAACTGCTGGTCCCTCACTGGGCTTTTTGAGGGTTCCCTGAAATAAACATAAAATGCCAGGCTTAGGGTATTTGTTAATGCTTCCTGTGAAATCTTTATTTTGAACTTCAGATCCTCTTTCTGTGAATGTTTTCCATAGCATAGCTTTTATTTTAGTTTAGTTTTAGTTTTTGCTATAGGGCACATGTGCTCGCTGGAGTGGGGGGAGAGGGAGAGGAAAGACAGAGAGAAATTGCCCCCCCTGTCCCCAGGGGGGATAACCATGCCACAATTTCTTCCCCTCCATTCTCCTCTCCTGCATGTTTTTCAAGCTGCCAAGTCTGGGACTCGAACTACACAGTTAGCCATGTGGGATCTAGGCACCTTACTCACCATGCTTCCTGGCTGGCCCACTGTATCATAACTTTTAAAATTTGTTTTAAGAATGATTTTATTGTACTTTATCCATTTTATTTATTTATTTGACCAGAGAGGGATAGGTGAGAGAGAGAGAGTGGGAAAGAGAGAAATCAAGCCACCAGGTCTGGGACTTGAACTGTGGTCTGCCATGTGGGAGTCTCCAGTGCCTTAACCACCACACCACCTGCTGGTCCCTCATAACTTTTAAGGTGATCCTAGAGCCCCAAATCTGGGCCATCCTCAAAACAGTCTTAACAGAACGTGTTAGGGTAAAATAAGAAGTCCCTTTGATGCCATGTCTCGTTCTTGGTTGGGGAGTAACTGGAATACTGGCTTCTGCGGTTTTGGGAACCCCACAGGCGAGCAATGATCTATATTGATGCATTGTCCAAGTTCCCGAATAGGGTGGGGCGGCCCATAGCTGGATATCACCATCTTTATAAAGAGCGTGACCTCTCTTCGTGAGTCTGTAGACACAAAGATGCCGTATCTGTTTTCCTTTCTAAACATCATGTGCATCTTTTTTTTTTTTTTTTTGGAGAGATTTTCACTGTAGGGCGCGTGCGCTCGCCAGACAGACAGAGAGAGACATAGAGACAGAAAGCGAGAAATCACCCCCCAGGGGGGATGGTCACGCCGCAATTCCTTCTCCTCCATTCTCCTCTCGGGATCTTGGGCACGCACGCACAGGCGCCCGGCGTGAGTTTTTAAGCCACCGGGTCCGGGACACGAACCACGGTCGACTACGTGGGAGTCCAGCGACATAGCCATTACGCTAACTGCTGGTTCCCCATCATTATGTGCATCTTGAAGTAGAGGGAGGGCCAGCAAACAGCATGGAGGTTAAGACGAGTCCTGAACCCGGCAGCTTGAAACATCATGCCAGGCTCATGTGTGCCCCACATCCCAAGGAAGCTGCAGAGGAAAAGGTGATGATGTGGCCATCCCCCCAAGGGAGGTGATTTCTCACTTTCCCCCTCTCTCTTTCTCTCTGTATCTGTCTGGCTGGCGTACATGTCCTATAGGGGACAAAAAAGGTAGGGGGAAAAATAGAACAAATGAAAGAATGTGATCTTCTCTTAATACCGTTCCCCATTTCTTCAAGAATAGGATAAAGGGTACCATTTCTAGGCTTGTAAAGAACATGACCATTAGCGGGACCAGCAGTTAGCATAATGGCTGTGTCGCTGGACTCCCATGTAGTTGACGGCGGTTTGAGTCCTGGACCCGGTGGCTTAAAATTCACGCCCGGCGCGTGTGCGTGCGTGCCTAAGATCCCGAGAAGAGAATAGAGAAGGGATTACGGCGTGGCCATCCCCCTTGGGGGGCGATTTCTCGCTTTCTATCTCTCTGTCTCTCTCTTTCTGGTGAGTGCACACGCCCTATAGCAAAAGCCTCTCCAAAAACAAAGAAAAAAAAGCAAAAAAAAAAAGGGGGGGGTGGCATGGTGGTGCCTGCCCTATCGCAAAAACGTACGTGACCATTAGAGAAATGTTGGTTCATCCTTTGAAGTTCATGTCCCCTTCCTCATTTTTAATGCACATACGAAAGTTATATTGAGATAGAAACCATTTCTAGCATTTTTTTTTAACTCCTCAGGTCTTGCCTCAGAGGGCACTGCAGAAATTGAACACAGAAATCCCGAGCACGCTGCCTGAACGGGCCTGGATTCTCGTGCAAGGACAAGACAGATCCAACTGGTGCTTTTGGTGAGTACGTCCCCTCGCGGTCTTTTCTATTTAGGGAAGAACATAAATGTTGGCTCCTATCAAGCGGAACAGAGGGCTCTTAGACAGTCTGCCTGGCAACACTAGTGACTTCCATGACCCAGTAAGTCACTTCGCCCCACAGTATCAATCTTTATTTCTCGGCACACTTTCCATCTGGTGGCCTCAGAGGAAACAGGTGCTGCTCTACGTGTGTGTGCCACATCTCAGGAGTTAAGAGACAAGGAATAGCGGGCCAGCAGGTGGCGTGGTGGTTACGGCGCTAGACTTCCGCATGGCTAACCGCGGTTCAAGTCCTGAACCTGGTGGCTGGCTTTCATAAATAATATTTTTTAAAGAGAGCAAGAAAGAAGGAAAAGTTATGTGTGTGTGTAGACCTGCCTCCACACCTCTGTTTTATAGCCAGTGTACCCATTTCTTCTGGATGAGAGAGAGAGGTGGACCCCCGCAGGGTTTCCATGCGTGATCTGCCAGCCCAGGCCCGGGCAGCCAACACCATGGCCACGCGCCTGTGCACCCCGCATGCTCAGAGGCACCCAATGCAAACTTAAGCCCTCGCCCAGGCGGTCCAGCTGTAGCCCTGCTATGCCACCATCCGACCCCATACATTTGTCTCTTAACCCCCAAAGAGATCAACAGTGCTTCAGGGAGATAGTCTTTCAGAGTGAGACGTGAGGGTCTTGGTATAAGCTAGACCAGGAGTTAGTGTCTTGTGTTTTGGAGCATTTGCTCAATTTCTGTTTTGTCATCTGTCATAGAAGGTAAAAAATAAGATGTCACAGGGGCCAGTAGGTGGCATGGTAGTTAAGGCACTGGACTGCCACATGGTCGACCGTGGTCCAAGTCCCGGACATGGTGGCTTGCTTCCTCACTTTCTCTCTCTCTCTCTCTCCCGCCTCTTTCTGGGGAGCAATATAAGCAAATTTATAAAAATATAGCAAACTAAAACATAATAATAAATAAAGTTAAATAAATGAGCCTTTGAAAACATAAGCTGTCAGGACCAGCAGATGGTGTAATGGTTATGTTGCTGGGCTCCCATGTAGTCGACTGCAGTTCGAGTCGTGGACCTGGCAGCTTAAAACTCAACACCGGGCGCGTGTGCGTGAGTGCCCCGGATCCCGAGAGGAGAGTGGAGTAGAAGGGATTGTGGCGTGACCATCCCCCCTCGGGGGCGGTGATTTCTTGCTTTCTGTCCCTCTGGGAAGTGCACACGCCCTTGATGTTGTCACACGGTCATCGCAAAATGTACTAAATTATACTCACCCTGCCATCTGTCCCTACCCATCATACATACGCGACAACGTTTTTTCCTTTTTCTTTTCTTTTTTTTAAGTGTTGTTGCTGTAGGCACAAATGCTTATAAGAGAGAGACAAACAGCAAGAGGGAAAGTGAAAAACTTACCCCCAGGGGGATGGCCCTACCACCATCCCTCCTCCATTCTCCTTCTGGGATTTTGGGCACACACACACACACACGTGCATGGTGTGATTTTCAAGCCACCGGGTCCAGGACTCGAACTGCGGTCAGCCGTGTGGGAGTCCAGTGCCTTTGCCACCTCGTCACCTGCTGGCTTCTACACTGTTCATGTAAAAGCTGAGTCTCACCAAGTTCAGATTTTTAAAGTATACCTATGTGTATAAAGTCTCTGGAAATGGAAGCCTGGTCTCTCTGTCCCTCACTCTATCCCTAACGAAGACCAGGTCCCTAAATAGAAGATGGTCTCGACATTCACGTGTCACTGCAGCCTGTGGACAAAGCATATACGAAGCCTCCATTCACTCACCTGATACTCGGTATGTTTATCACTATCCCTTTCTGTGCATTTCTGTGCTGTGTGCCTCCGCACGGCAAGAGATCTCATCATCTCTATGAGAAACTTAAAGCGCAGTTGATGAGTCCAGACAAGCAACAAACTCAAAAATATGTACCTCGGCCAGGTCGTTTAATTTCTCTCGGCCTCACTTACTCTGGCCCCAAACACGTGCACACACACGCTTAAAGGTTCACTCTTAAAAGTTCACAGTTGCATGGGTTGTGCGTCTTTATCATTGGAACACAACGAGTAGCCCGAAGGCATAAATACTGAATTTCAGGAAGATGTGTCTATGAAGCTATCTGTAATTGTAGCTTTGATGTGTGTTTCTCTGATGACTTAAACCAGCTTATTTTCTCTAATGCTCACCTGTTGATGTGCTTATGAGCCATCTGTATATTCTTTCTGGAGAAATGTCTATTGAGGTCCTTTTCCCATTTCTGTAATAATAGGGTGGTTTGAGCTGATTCTGTTGTAGAGTGGAAATGCACGTCACTGCTCAAGAAATGCCAGATCCCACATAGCAACCACGGTTTGAATGCCTGGTCTGGTCGGCCCAAAAAACGCCAGGCATATACGTGAGTGCCCAGGGTCTGATGGACTGGAGTACTGGGGCACGTGGACACAGCATGACAGGCACCCTGTGGAAATTGCTCATGCCCTCTCTCTCTCTCTCTCTCTCTCTCTCTCTTTCTCTCTGTACTCTATCACGAGTAAAGAAAAATATGTATTTATAGTTTAGAAATTTTTGCCGAGGGCGTGTGCACTTACTGGAGAAAGAGAGACAGAGATAGCGAGAGAGAGAATAGGAGAAATCACCCCCTGGGGGGGGGATGGCCACATGGCTATCCCTTCCCCTCCATCCTCATCCCAGGATCTTGGACACATGTACACACGTTCCTGGCGTGAGTTTCAAGCCCCCAGGTCCAGTCTTCAAACTGGTCAGCCATGGGAGAGTCCAGCAACATAACTGCTACATCATCCGCTGGCCCCAGAATACTATATATATTTTTTTAATTGGGTTGTTTGCTTTTATTGTTACTAAGTTATAGGAGTTCTTTATGTAATATGGTTATTAATCCCTTATCAACATAGGATTTCTGAATATTTTTCCCACACCATGGGTTGCCTTTTTCACTCTCATTACAATGCCCCTTGATATGTAAATGTTTTTTATTTTGACGAAGTCTAACGTATCTATTTTTACTTTCGTTGCCTCTGATTTTGTTGTTATCGAAGAAATCATTGCCACACCCAAGGTCATGAAACCTTCCCCCAAGAATTCCATAGTCGTATCTCCTGCATTTCGGGCTCTGATCCCTTTTGAGTTCATTTTTGTGTACAGTGTAAGGTAAGGCCCGGGATTCTTTTTAGAGATGGACGTTTCGGTCCCACCAAATCTCAGTGCAAGCATGTGGAGCACAGATCACAAATATTCCCACCTGCTATTTATTCTGAATTACTTCCCTTCCGGGTGTAGACATAGGTAGTTTCGCAACAGACAGCTGAGAGAGAGCTGGAGGCCTGGCTGCAGCAGTGCGGAAGGGTTGGGATCAGCACGCATTCCAGTGTAGACATGCTTGATGAGATCTCCAACACAAGAATGAAAGAGCCGTGGGTTGTCGGAAAAGTCATGCACATTGTTGTACAGAAAAACAGAAACGATGCATCATGACTGCCGACAACCCAATCGGTCATGTTTTAGGCTAAGAAGAAAGAAGTGTTTGTGTGCGTGCACACACACCCACGTTTGCTCACATGTGACACAGGTGTGTGGATCTGCAGTAGAGGGAGGGAAA